ATGGTGAGTAACTGCTTCGATTGTAGGTTGTGGCTGATTGTTTCTTATTCTGTGCAGTCGGTTGGTAGTTGTTTGTTGTATGTTGCGGTGAGCAACCGGATCTACCCATAGGGTATCGTCGTCGTCGTAAGATGTGTAAAAGAGAAAGGTACAATAGTGTTACGAAAAAAGGTTTTAGGTCTCTTTTCAAGGCTAAAGTATAGTAAAAACCTTTTTGGGCACCTTGCGGGAACCCGGGAACCTTTTCTGCAATCTTCCCCTGAGGGGGGGGGGGCTTGGACTATAGAGTACGACAGACGATTATGTAAGGATCCGTTTTTCGTTTTTCTGGTGTCGTCAGCATCACCCCCCCCCGACTAGTGCGTGCCGCATGCCGCATTACTGTGGACTTAGCCATTCTCGCGCTCTTCTAATAATATGTGCTGCCGTGGCTGTTGCGGCCCGCGTGCTAACCGCTACAGTATCTGCCACCGTATTTGTCGATGATGATCTCGCAGGGTCTTTGCAAGCCTGTAACAAGCGCTAGAGGGAGCTCATCAGGGCCCTCTCGAAGCGACGAGGCAGATATTGAAGGAGCCGGAATGCAGAATTGAGGGGAGCCTGATGCGGACGGGTCTGACGTCGATTACCAGGCCTGCTTCCCACCCGGCTCATCGGGCGTGTTGGTGCTGACGACGCGGAATGCGGAATGCCAGGAGTACGCCACATGTGAATACGTGGCTTTGGAATGGCTTCCGACAGATGAGGCGACATGATGAAGAACATTCCGCAGGTGGCGGTCGAGGTGAAAGCATTGTCCGGTAGCTAATGAAGCCTTCCCATTGGGGCGTTAGATAGTTGATAGATGAAGCATCTCGGCCACAACTATCTCTGGGAGCTGCGGCACGGGTAGTTTTCGTTGCGCTCCAGTGAAGATATCTGCTATAGATGGGACCGAGTGTTGCGGAGGGGGGATGTGAGAGTAGGATCTATCAGCTTGCGGCTCCATGGCCGCCAGTAGAGGGGTGTGTCCAAGCGAGAGGTGGAGCAGTCCTGGGGGTTAAGGTCACTGCCGTGAGGTCTCAGACGTGGCGAGGGTCCTAGAGTGGTGAGAGGGGTGGAACCGTAGAAGGCATTCCACACGGTATAACCAGTGGTCACCGTGGCTGCTCATTCATTAGGCCACAGGTCGGACCCGGGCAGCCTGATGGCTGAGCTCGCCGGCAGCGTCAAGTATTGGCGAAGGACACCATCCTTTGTGCCACCGAGAGAGCTGGCCACCGTCCCTGACTGGTCCATGCACTGTGTCGAGGTTCACGGGTGCTGTGACCCATTCGCCCTCGGTGAAACTCACCACCCCCTCACCAACTTGTACCACCTCGCCAGCCATGTCCGAGTAAGGGACGACATTCTCTTTGGCCGCGACCGGATATGTGCCATCAACGGAACTCTTGTTGAAAGCCGCCGGTGTTGCTAGCAACTAATGTCCCGCCTTGGACGACGATGCACGAAAGGTGGCTATCCTGCTTCAGTCACATCCTCTCGCCCTGATCCAGGCCGGGGTATATGTGAAGCGAGGTCACTGTAGCCTGGCCGCTTTACCCCGAGTGTATGAGCGTCAGCAGAAGCGGCTGCTCGCGTTCCGACCGTCACAGGCTCAGTCGTGGTATGGGCCCGGTATCCTTTATGCTCCCTTCTATACCGCTTCAAACAAGAGTAACGGTAGTTGACTGGATCAGCACATGGCCAGGAGTGGCAGTGGCTCGCATGCAGCTTGCGACGACTCCGTCTGACTCGCTTGTAAGATTTCCACCGATGCCTCAAACGCAGCGTACACGTCCCGGCCCAGTCATCAACGAGAATGAATTCGGGCTGACGGCGTGGTACGTATCTCGTCTTTCCTCGCTTTTGGAAGTCGGTGGAGATGGGTGGGCTTCGTTTCGGCTCGTGGAGGCTTCCAACCAGAAGCGAATGGTGTCGACTAACGTGGGACGACGGTCAGGTGCGCGTATCCATGCATCCCTATCAGGAACGGCCTAGAGAGATAGGCAGAGAGCAGCGATAGGTAGCAGGTAGGTATAGGTATTCCTTGATGGCATATCTTAACTAAAACTCAAAAAATGAGATAAGGGAGCTTCCCTCAGGCGGTGAATGGAATGTATCATGGGTCGCGGAGGAATGTGTTATGGGTCGCGGTGGAATGTATCTCGCGATGGAATGTGCCATAGATCGTGATAGAATGTGTCATGGCGTTATCGCGGAGTGATGACGACCTGTGGCGAGTGTATGTACAGCCACTGCAGCCTCACCTTCAAGCGATCACGCTATGGGAGATAATTGTGCGTGTAGGTGCGAGGATCAGGTCGCGGTGTGCAGCATATTGGCAACATGTGGATGGCTGCACCGTGGTATAAGGGATGATCAGACACTGTTCCGGCTGCTCGACCGACTGTGTTCTCACCTCGGTGTCGACAGGGCCAGGGTCGATCGGCAGTGGATGGAAATTCATGGGCTTGTTAGTCGCAACGTTTTGGACGTCGACCAAGTTCGAGACGCAGTCCGGGTGTTGGAGGAGGTGGTGCGGGGTCAAGGTCAGACCCTAGTGGAGGATCACCCCGATCGACGGGCCTCGCAGCACAATCTCGCCATCATGATATGGTGGGATTTGCCAGCATTCTGTAGGTTTGCTCATGATGAGGCTTGTCATGGAGATCCAAAAGCAGACAACGTCGTGACTGTATAACGTAGAAATGGAGGATTGAGCAACAGCCCTTTAGTCCCAACGCATCCATCTCTCGCTTTCTCTTGTCCATCTCCATAACAATTGGATCGGTTCTCGCATGAGAGTCTGCTGAGGGATCACGGTTACCACCACCTTTCGGCCGATATTGTATGCTATTCCTTGGACTTTACGCCTCCTTTGGGCCTCGAAGATATCGTCGTAGCGCATGACCTTCGCATTGCCGACCACCGTGGGTCTGATAGACGTTCGAGACCCTTTCTCGTCATTCTGCTCAAAGACCAAACGAATCTCTTCGCCCAAATTGGGCGTTCGGCGTAAAGTCTCTCTGCAGCGTTGAATGCTTTTCGAGGACGAATTTGTCAGTCCTCGTCCACAACCTTCTCTTGTAATGCTAGGCATAAGAGTTGCGCTTGACGGCACTCACGTTTATCTTCGTCAGCACCACCGTCATCATCATCATCATCATCATCGCAGCCGCCTGGCGCCCGGTGCTGGCCGTCATCACGTACACACGATTCCGGGACCTCTCGTTACCGAGATAAAGTCTGGTTTTTGCTCCGGCGTAACAACTCGTGAGACACTTGGTGGACGACACCACGGTCATCGTCCACCTGCTCGTCCTGCTCCGCCACATCCCCGCGTAGATCCTCACGTACACCGCCGGCCTGCTCATGACTTCCGCCATCATGGGGCTGTTTGGGCTCTGGAACAGGTTCTAGACAACCCCTCGGTCCTGGTGACGTTGGTGACGCCAGTGCTGAGACGTTGCCGTCCAGGAAGATGACACCTTGTCCGATCTTGTTTCTCACCTCGATCACGCCCAGGTACGAGAGCCTCACTGCGTGGGTTATGTAGTTGATGGCATCCTTGTAGTGGCTGTCGCACTCGGGCTGGGTCGTGATCATGTTCCTGCTCTTGCACGCGTCGCAGAACGTGAACTCGAGGCTGTTCTTGATGTTGTTCCTGTTGGCTTTGGCGTGGTTGTGCAGCCACACGTTGATGGGCGTGTTCGGGTATCTGTTCGGGTCGTATTCCCTGCACGCGGCCAGTATCGGCGACCTCGACGATGTCACTGACGCCCTCCACGGACTTCACGAGCAGGTCGTCCTTGGACTTGGTCGTATACACGGATTTTGTCCTGGGCATGTCCTTCAACACGCCGCCGTTCGTGTCCATGTTCAGCCAGCCGCTCCCGTCCCTGAGCTCGTCCACGAGCCCGCACATGCTCAGGGCCGAGTACATCTTGCTGAAGACGCACATGGGCAGGCCGATGCGCACGTAGAGCGTCATGTGGCTGACTGCGTTCTCGAACGGCAATAAGACCAGTCTGCACCCCTCTTTCGACTCAGTTGTTGGGCTGTCAACTTGTCCTTCCATCCTGATTTCGATCCCGACTCACCATCCTTGGTATGCGGCGGCCTGCACCTCCTCAGCTCCGTCAGTCGAGCTGGCTGCATTGGCGCATTTCGGCATTCGAAGCGCATAGACATGTATTCAGAACACGTCTTCACGGATGTCTTCCTCGTTCCGTGCTTTCCTTGAAGGCGGACTCTAGTTACTGACAAGAACTGCGTTATGCTGAAGGCTTCCTGGGCTTTGAGGATTATGAATACCATCCTCTCCTTCTTCACCTTCGTGCTGGCACTCTTCCTCCAGAAATCTGGGCAGACAGAACCCGAGAACTGGCGGAAACACCCTCTCTCCGCGGTGCCCTTGAGACTGGCAAATCGACTTCCTCGTCCCGAATCCCTTTTCGCGATCGCACTATATCCGGTAGATCCCTCGGTGTCAGACGCAGATCGCCTATATTTCCAAATGTAGCCTGCCCTTTCCCTGAGCCAAACAAGGCATTGAGCTTGGCATGTTGTGGATTGACTGGCTTTTGTTGTTGCTGGGAGGTCGGCTGTGGTGCTGAGTAATTCGTGATTGGGTTGGGTTGGTGCTGGAAGGTCGGAGCACTGCTTGAAAACGTCCATTCTGCCATGGCTGGAGTGGCTACTTCACAGAAATACTGAAAAGCCCAGCGCTCATGATGCGAGCCCTGTTCCATTGGTATGGACGAGAGCAAGCGTGCAAATTTGGCCGATGTATCTGATGGTGTGTTTCGCAAAGGTTCGGTACTGGCGCTGTGTCGCCAGCTCAGCGTCGAATTGGCCACCACGGGAATCCGCGTCACCAGTGTTCGCCTATAGACGAGGATGAATTGGAAGTGAGAGCCCTTAAGCCTCGACTAACGCCAGCAGCTACGTGTACTGCAGCGAGATCTTCCCGACTGGTGTGAGCGCCCACGGACTGGGCATTGGCGTCGCACATGAAGATCCGCAAAATCGGCGTGGGACAAGACGATATTCAGGGCCACCCAGCTGTCGACGGAGCCCCCGATGGACACGTATGGACACGTATGGGCACGTCCTTGTACCTGATCGACTCTCCGTGCCCGGCCCTGTCGAGTGACCACTTGGACTCCTTGTTCATGGGGCTGAACCCGATCGTATAGCCGTCCACGGAGAGGCTCGGGTGAATAGCCTCTCTTCTACAGCCCTGAAAACCTTCGAAGTCGGTGAGATTGTTTAGCAGTCGAAGTGTGCTAGGCAAATACTGAAGCACAATGGTGCACAAGGCCACAAAAATTGTCGACAGACCGCCGACTTATGAGACGGCAGTTGCCATGCACATCAGGGCTTCAATGTGGAGGTGATTTGAGAGAGTGGCGGTCGGTCAATGTAATGTGCTCGTCCTGTAAATGGATATGCTTGGTTTTTTCCGACAATGATCTGCCGAATGCGAGACTTGACGGCGTTTTGTCCCAAGCATGTGCCATCAACGAGAGTTTCGGGATTCATCTCATGAACAGATCCTGCAGCTTCCGGCGTCAATGCATCCAAGTCACGAGTGAGCAAGTGACTTGGTGCCTCAGTTGGGTCCGTCCTGAGGGCGAACGAGACATGCAGCACCGAGCTGTCGTTAACGATCGAGTTACGATGCGCGCGAGAAGAAATCGCGAATGTACAGCTGGAAGGGCTTTGTGCCACGCACCACCATCTCGTGTAACTTGTCACCTTGTCGGCTTGTGCCTGCGCCCGACGGGCCGTAGAAGAGGAGACGGGGGAAATCGGCAGAAGAGGTCTGTCGCGTAGAGTCAGCACTCAAGGGTATTCTGTCAAACGGAGTACGGGAGTAACTCACTTCAAGATTCCTCTGAGCCATCCTGGCGCATGGTGCAGACCTGTATTGGTATCTTCCGCGAAACGACGAGAGATTTGAGCAATCTTGATCTGACGCTCGTCATGGGAAAGAAATTCGACCCGGCGCCCGAGCTGACTGGCCATCTGACCGTGTCCTGCGGAGTTGTTACTAGGTGCAGCTCTCATCTCATGTAAAGCGAAGCAGAGTGTCGGCCCAGAGCTTCGAATACAGGGCTTTCTCGATCGGCTCTTCTCAGGACTTCTTCAAAGAGTTTTTGCTGGCATATCTACAGCCACTCCAGGACTCAGTGGGACGAAATTGCAGTGAGAAGGACGCGTCTGGCATGGTCACAACTCTTTGACCTAGTTGCTTGGTTGGCCGAGTGCGGGAGACTGACGGGCAGAACAAGTTCTGAAGAAGGAGAAGAAGTCTGTCCATCCATCCAGACGATTTCCCACAAGAAACCGTTCTACTATACGACGTAGATAAAGCGGGTTACTGTGTCGGCGTCGCTTAGTTGTTGCGCGTTGAAATGTTGGCGCACAGCGCTGGCGAGAGGTGAGGGTAGCTCAGGAGGACCGGTGATTGCAGTGACAGCACGCTGCAACGAGCGGCTCATCAGAATGGAGGAAACCTTTGTAATTGATCGTCAGCGGAACAACAACGACAACGAAGACGAGCAATCCGCGAGAGTAAAGGTCCGACATGCGTGCGTATTGGAGCTGTGGTGCCAGCAAGATCCGGTCGGGATTGTCTCTGGGCCGCCCACGTGGTGTTGCGGTTGTCGGTCAGACCACAGACGAAGCAGATGCCGACCGTCGCGTTACAACCTTTGTGGAGCACGGTGACTCCGTCTGGCAAGGGCCGGTGAGTGCATGCTACGGCAACGGCGGCTGCGACCTCTTAGCCTCGACTCGCTGCGGGATCGAGGCTGGTTTGAAGAGTTTCTTGAACGGTCGCATGACGGCAATCTGTGTCCTGTAGAGCAGAGCGGGAGCACCGCGTCTACCTGGCCACCCATGCTTGGTTGTGGACTGGAAAAGCCGTCAGTCGCATGGTGAGGCTGAAGTTGGAGAGGTTCGAATGTTCAGCTGGTCATTGCGCCAGTCCACCATCCCCCGGGCATGGTATATTGTTGGGTTCCAGGGTCAGTGGTGGGGATATCAATGACCGTACGAGGCTGTGAACCGCCGTGATGGACTGCCTGCCTGCCTGGTGGTGAGAGAAGAGAGAAGAGGAATACCGCGAAGGAGGGGGGGGGGGGGGGGGGGAGTGTCCACAGAGTACGACAGACGATTATGTAGCATCTATGGACTT